AGTGGAATCATCTTGGATCACCTTAACTCTCTTTTGAACTATTATAGTATTTTTTATTTATTTATTTATTTTTCTTTATTGACTTTAGAGAAAGAGGAAGGGAGATGGAAACATCGATGAGAGAGAACATTGATTGACCGCCTCCTGCATGCCCCGCACTGGGGATCAGGCCCACAACCTGGGCATGTACCCCGACTGGGAATCAAACCAATGACCTCTAGGTGCATGGGCTGATGCTCAACCACTGAGCCACACCGGCCGGGCTATTATATTTTCAGTATTGTGGTCCCTTGTCAGGAAGGGTGAGCTGAGACAAATCCAAACTCCTAGTCCACATTCAAAGTCTGGAAGGACCAATGGCTCAGCCTCAGTTCTAGGTGGCTTTCTTCTCAGATGATTCCCAAACAGGTGGTCAAGCAGCACCGGGATATACACAGGTTAGGAGGCAAGTGAGTGGATGTAGCTCCCCAGTGTCTCCCTTGTCCTTCATGAAGTCATGTTCGTCATTGGTTGGTCAACTCAGGCCTGTGTGGGTAAGAAATCTACCAGACCAGAGGAGGCCAGAGCTACAGGTTCAGTGCACACCTCTTGGCCAGGGGAAGGACCACGTCAGCACTGCAGGGCCTATCTATTACCATGTAAAGAGTTTTGGCTTCAGTATAATTACATTGCACTTTCTATTTCTGGCCAGAATTTACAGATACAATCTTACCACATTTTTTCCCCTAATTTTACAATGATTTATGTATATCTTTTAAAGATTGTAGCATAGGGGTTAACAGCATAGGTTCTAGAGTCATACTGCTGGTATTTAAATCTCAACTCCACCACAAGTTATGTGGCCCTGAAGCACTGCACCTCTGTTTCCTCATCTACACAATGGGAATGATAAAGGTATCCACCCTCTTTGGTTGTTGTGAGGGTTAAAGCCAGTGCATCAGATTACTTGATGTTGTTTGTTAAATGATTTTTTGATTGCAAAGACTATATCATTCATGTTTTCTCCTATCATATTTAAAACTTGCTATGTGCACAATAAATATTTGAAAAATAAATGAATGTCTAAATTAATTGATTTCAGTGTTTCATGGCTCAAGAAACAAAAGCAGCCAATGACACAGGGCAGCAATTTATAATGAATGGACTTATCTTTTTTTTTTTCCCATTTATCTTCAGATAGAGTGGGAGGGAGAGAAAGAGGAAGAGAGAGAGAGCAAAAGACCGATGTGTCTTGGTTGCCACCCACCAACCCCAACCAGGGTGGGGACAAACTGCAACCAAGGTACGCGCCCTTAGTGGGAACCCAGCCCATACTCTCTGGTCCGCTGGCCAACGCTCTAACCACTGGGCCAAACTGGCAAGGGCATGAATGGGCTTATCTTAAACAGAAAAGCATTAGTCCTGTGAAGAGGCAGCCAGCTCCACAAAAACTGCGGGGGAAACGCACGTTTTCAACCTCCCTGGCAGGCAACTTGGCAAAATTATCAAAAGTCCTTCAAAAAATCATGGATTTTGACCTGGTAATTCTAATTGTATAGTAAGAACGTGACACAAAGAATGTTCTAGGACAACATGGAAACAACAGAAATGTGCACCATTAAGGATTAAATAAATTTTAAAATATCTATATAATGATAAGATAAACCCAAATTTTGCCTGAGAAAATGGCATCATGCACTAAGTACAAACCTATTCTCAAAATAATAATAGCAAAGAGAATATATAATATCTTGTTTGTATGTTAGAAAATAAGCCTGAAGAGAAAGACATACAATAGTATAGGTCGCCTTTTAGTGAAAATACAAATGATCTTCATTTTTTTTTTATTTTGAAATTTTCAGAAAGACTGGGGAAAAAATGTGAGCTTTCTTTTTTGGAAAAGCAATCACCTTAGAACTGGAGCCTTTACAAACAGGGGTGCAATGGCCCGTGGTCCCCGCATGTCCACACATTCGTCAAGGCTGTCCACAGCCTGTCTTCCAATGTGTGGGCGGTGGGCGGTGTTGCAGACTGAGTCTAATCCCATGTCTGTTGTTAACTTCCTGTGTGGCCTTGAGCAGACTTTCTGCAGTTGTAAAGAGCTGTATGGATATTCATATAAGTGTCGCTCTGAAGGGTGGGTAAGTTTACTTCTTCTGTAAGTGGCTAGCATCAAGGCTTTTCAAACATTAAAACAAATAGCCCTAACCAACCTCACTATAAAGGGCAAAACAAGATTTAAAAACCCATAGGTATATGCATGCAACCACACACACACACACACACACACACACACACACACGCATGCACAACCAAGACTAGAGGGAGATATGAAAAACAGGGCCCAGTGAAATCTCCCCAGTATCTTCCTGCAGCCTTCAGACCTCACGTGGTTGTGACTCGAGTACCTGTTGGCCTCTGTCTACTTCAGTTTACTGCTGCTTGGTGTTTCCACTTAGATTTGGTATCAAACTCTGGCATTTGAACTTGGTATTCAAGTGATAAAACAACATGACGCCAAGTCAAAATGTAAGATAATATGATATTCTTTTTAAATTTAGGTTTTGAAGACAAAGTTAACAGTTTAGACTTACTAAATTAGGCTTTTACTCTCTGAAGGAACATAATATAAACCAAATGTATATGATAATTCACCCAAATGCTCGTTCATCCTCATGATTTGAAGTAGGTCATTCTGACATATGTAGACCAAAAATTACATTCATGTTGCAATATCAGGCCTAATTTTTTTTTTAAATAAAAGTTTTCCAAGACACCATATTGGAAGAAATTTTATTCAGTGCTAAAAGCAGTTACTTATATATGTTCTCACAGAATCATATATTGAAAAGCTATATTTAAAAATATAGACACCAATTATGAATGTTATAAGCAAAGAGAAAGGCCTCCTGGCATGGAAATCTGAAAACCTGGGACCAAGCCCAGGTGGCCCAGTAGCTGTGTGACCTCAGGTGGGAAGCTACCTCGCTCTGAGCTTGGTAAATGACACTTAAATTGAGAGAGATAGGAAAACATAAACTGCAATATCCCATTGCTTTAACATGCCTTGTTTCTAAATTACTAAGGAACAGATATTTACAAAAGTATAACACTACTTTGAAAGTAATTACAAATCACGGCCTCATCATTGCCATTAATATACAAAGCCATTTTAAATGTTGTACCATATACCTAATTCTTATAATTATACATTGATTAAAATCTCACAAAATATGACTTCTACACAGTTTTCTCAATATAATTTGCTCATTATTGCCTAAATGGGGCAAATAAAACAGTATTTTATGAATCGTGAAAGGACAGCTGTGAAGTATTACTCTTTATGTAGTTGTATTAACAAATCATGTTTGCAAAGACAGCTGTGTTAAGCTGGTGTTGCATGTATTTTATGGGTAATTCGATAATTCTTTTAGCACTATTATTCATTTTAATGAGAACTCTGTGTAATCTAATATTTTTTCTTTGCTAACAGATAAGGGAACTAAAGTAGAGGGTGGCAGTTATTTCGGTTGCACAAGTATTCTGTTCAGCAATGTGGACAAAAGATAAACTGACTCATATATGTTTCCGATAAATATTCTCTCAATTTGGTAACCACAATCTACTCTGCTACACCCCTATACCATCTGTTTTTACCCTCGTGTCTATAGGATGGAAGCCAAACTTTCTACAAATACAAGGAGAATATAGGAGAAGGAAGAGTTCGATCATAATATATTTGAAAAAACTGTTCATGTATATATATGTAAATATATAAATGTATGTATATATGTGTATATATATACATATATATAGAGAGAGAGTTGTGTGTGTGTCTTTGTGTGTGTATGTGTATATAAGTGGAGAATGTTCATGACTTAATAGACATATCTTAAGAAAGTCATTAATACTTTTGATCCTCAGTTTCCTCATTAGTAAATGAGAATAATAATTATTTGTTGCAAAGATTAATTAGGCCAGTGTGTTAAGGGTAAGCACTTAGAAAGACTGGAACATAACAAGTGCTAAGTGTTAATTATTATTATTATTATTATTATTATTATTATTACTATCATTATTGATATAAAACCTTGTAGGTCAAGTTTCTCCTTATTTTTCCCCCTTGCCCCAGCCTCTTCTGCCCGAATCACTGGCCTAGTGTGTGAGCCGGTTCCTGCCTGTCTTCAGTGCTGTATCTCACCCTGTAAATCCTCAGGGATTCCATAATCATGCTCTACAGTGCAGCACACAAAGGAGAACAGTGTGTCTGCACTGTGATGGGCAAGGGAGAGAGTGGTTTAGACAAGTCAGAAAAGGTGGGCAGGGTCCAGATCATACACCCCAGATACTTTATTATTACTTTTCTTGTTAGGCTTGGGGGTTTTGCTCTAGGAAGCCAGCCCAATCAATGGGTGTGTCCACCTTCACTAGTCTTACGCTGTGCAGTCCAGCTGCACATTCCAACATGGGTGTCGTATTTGCAGATGCTTGCTGTACCTCCAGGTAGACAGGGAACAGGGACTTGAGGGAGATCAGAACTCTCTGTGCTTTTCTGTATTTTATTCAGATGGTTGTCACGGCTGGTTTCTCTGGAATCATCTCTTACAATGTTACTTACAAGGAGCTGCTGGTTTAAACTACTGGGGGAGCAGCCCTGTGGTTCTCTCTGAGATTTTGCCCCATGACCTGTCCTGCTGTGTGACAAAGTGCTTGTGACATGGATTATTTGGGGTGCTGTGAAGTACCAGAGCTTGGACTGAGCTTGTTTTATGAAAATCCACCTCTTCTTTGAAATGATTTCTACATCAAACATTTGAAGTGCTTTTTTATTTCTCATTAATAAGGATATTTTCTGATATTCATTTGTCATAAAGAGTTGACTTTTTGTTGCTAAGCAAAACTCTGATGTACATATGAAACATATATAAATATATATGGGAATATTTATGTCCATGGGGTGAAAAATCAGTGCTATAACATCTCCACTGACAAAGAAATGGAAATATCACACCTTATTTACTGTAAGACATTATTTACTGTAAGAAGTACATACAGACTTCTCTCATGGTTCTCAACTTCTTTGAAACACCATCTGCTGAAACACAATATATAAAGTTAAACTTTTATTTTAGAGGAAATAAACATGTGATACTTAGACTTCAATCAAAATCTTTAACTTGTGATAAGAAATTAAGAACAACGTGCCTAACCCTGGCAGGTTGTTCAGTGGTTAGAGCATTGTCCCACAGACCAAAGAGTCGCAGGTTTGCTTCCAGTCAAGGGCATGTACCTTGATTGTGGTTCAGCCCTGCAGGGTTGTGCGGAAGGCAACCAATTGATGTGATCTCTCACATCTATGTTTCTCTCTCTCTATCTCCCCCTCCCACTCTGTCTGAAAATAAATGGAAAAATATCCTCGGGTGAGGATTTTTTAAAAAAAGAACAATGTACCCAAGCAATTATAAAACAATATATGGTTTGGTATTATGTCTAGATTTGAGTGTGTTTGTAGGTACATATAACATACATGTGATGCATGTGTGTACATATTTAACATGTAGTCACAGACTTATCCTGCACAGCTAGACAGTGTAGTTTGGCCTATAGGTACATGGGAGTGTTGAAGTAAAGATTAATATACAAGCAGTGGTCAGGGAAGTAAGTGGGCCTTAGACTCCTCTTCTCTTGATGGAGGGAGCAGGTGCTCTTACAAGGTGCTTCTGAAGACCCTTGTCCTTCCTCTGCCAGGGCCCTTAGGCAACTATTTCCCTATTTCTATTTACTTCTACTCTTTGTTTTTTTATGTTTGCTTCCATTTGTCTGTTCAACAAAAATTTGTTGAGCACCTACTTATGTGCCAGGAGCTGGAATGGGCACTGGGGTGAACAAGGCAGATGTGGCTCACTCCTCAAATTGCATATGTATATGTATATATATGTATATGTATGTATATGTATATGTATATATGAAAGAAACACACAGACACAGGGTACTGAGCTAGAGACTGTGATGAAGATGGGAGTGAGGTACTTCTTTAGATATGACGGTTAGAGTGATCTCCATGAGGATGGGCACTTGAGTCAAGACGAAATACGATAGTAAAATGTAATTTCAAGGTTTGGCAGTACAACATTACAAACAGAAAGAACAGCCAGTGCAACGGTGTGCAAAGCAGAAAGAATGCCATTGTGGCTGGAACATTGGAAAGAGAGGAAGATGAAGCCAGTGACGTAAGCTGGAGACTGATATATAGGGCTTTATAGGCCATGGCGAGAAGTTGGGACTTTATTCCAAAAACAGTGGGAAAGAAGGTTGAAAGAGTTTTTGTGTGGAAGAGGCGTGACTATATTTACATTTAAAATTTTTTTCTTTTAATTTTTTTTTCCTTTATTGATTTTTTTTTAGAGAGAGAGGAAGTGACAGGGAGAGAGAGACAGAAACATCGATGAGAGAGAACATCAACTGGTCACCTCCTGCATGCCCCCAACTGGGGATCAGGCCCACAACCTGGGCATGTGACCTGGCTGGGAATCGAACCAGTGACCTCTTAATGCATGGGTCTATGCTCAACCACTGAGCCACACCAGCTGGACTAAAAAAATTTTAAATGTTTTTGGGTGACATTGGTTAATAAAGTTATATAGGTTTCAAGTATACAATTCTATAATATATCATCTGTATACTGCATTGTATATTTACTACCCAAAGTCAAATCTCCTTCTGTTACCTTACATTTTTAAAAGCTCTCTCTTGATGCTGTACGGGAATGGGTTGGAATGGGAGAAGAATGGACAGGAATACTAGAGCAGAGTCCCAAGACACGGTTGGTGGTAGCTGAACTTGGTGTTGGCAGTGGAGACGGATCAAAATGGGAAGGCTTCCTGTGTATTTGGAGGCAGAACTGATGAGCTTAAGGATGGAGTTGGTATTGTAGACGAGGGAAAGAAAAGATTCACAGGTGCTTCCCAGATTGTTATCTTGTGCAATTGGATAACTAGTTGTTCCATCTACCAAAATGGGAAAGTTAGAAGGATAGCAGGTTTATGACTAATCCGAGTCTCAATTTTGGACAGATTAAATGGGAGATTTCTTTTAGACATGCCCATGTTGATATCAGATAGTAGCTTCATATATGAGTCTATGGAACTCAGAGGACAGACCTGGGCTGGAGATGGACATTTGGGTAACATCAGCCTATGAAGAGTGTGTAAGCCTGGGACTGGAGAAAAAGTATAGACAGAAAGACAAAGTGTCCGGGAAGGTACCCTAATGTAAGAAGGAACACATTTTTATTTCCTTTGGAGAAAAGCTAGGAGAATACAATGCCACAAAAGCTAAGAGGAGAACGTTTCAAGAAGGCAAGAGTAGTCAACTGTACCAAATAGGTGCTGAGAATTAGAGGAGAATATACAAGGGTCTATTGGACCTGACAATGTGGAGGCCCCTGGTGGTGAGCTGGACAAGATTGGTTTCTTTCCATTGTCGGGGTCTTCTGTATCAGATGAGAGTGGTTGAAGAGTGAAATAGAAATAAGGATGAGACAGAGACTATAGATAATTTGCTTGAAAATACTTCATGTGACAAGGAACAAAGAAATGGAAATAGACACCCAGTAGAGAGAGATGTGGACTCTATCAAGGTTTAATTTTTAAGATGGCTTATGCATATTTGATGCTTGTAGGAATGATCCAGTGGTGAGGAAGGAATGGATGATGCGGAGGATGGAAGAGGGAGAACATTTTTTAGAATATGTCACGGAATAGGAGCATAAGCAGAGGGATTTGCCTTTGAGAAGAGCGGGAAGAACTGTGAGGGCAGAGTTAATAACCATTGTGTGCCCAACATATATCATGCTTGGTATATATTAGAAGCTCAATTAATATTTGTTGTGTGAACCCAGTAAACATCCACTGCAAGCCAACACAACAAAACAAGCAGTGGGCCCAAACAAAGAGTGAGGAATAGGCAAGAGCAAAGAGAGGGACATATTCCTTATTAGTTATTGCTTATTTTATGCATTCTTTATTATCCTGATCAGACAACTTAGTTAAAAATTTTAAATCAAACTGGATTTTTTTTAAATGCAAAGACACAGCCTATGTGGCATTTAGTTGATTTATTTGTTAGTTTACTTAGTGTCTATTGCAACTCCCTAACAATGCAAATTCTTCATTGGTCGAGAATTCTTCCATTTGTGTTTTCTCCCTTGTGTTCTACGTTCGTATTTTCCACCTTAGTAATTGAATTTCATATCAATGGCAGTCTAGTAAATTGGTTTTCATGATTTTTTTTCAGTGCTGATGAAATTAATGATTATTTTAAATCAAAGTACATATTTACAAATTATATCTCTATTTTGCCTTAAAGTAGCTAATTGGCACATGGTGAGATCTAATGTACATTCCGAGAGTCAATGTTTGTTTACAGGCCCAGGGAAACTGTAATGCAAAAGAAAGTCTGTGCACACCGGTGAGGTTCACATAAACTCACTTTTATTGTGCCTATGTCAGGGTGGTCACATAAAATGGAAGACAGATAATCTGTTATTAAAAACCTACTAACTACATTCTGAACATGTAGGACACAATACATTATTTTTGTTATTTAGCAGTTGCCTTCCTCAAAATACATGACAGATGGAAGTACTCAGAAATTGAACCCTATAAAAAAAAAAGCACATCAAACATATATCTCATAACCAGAAATATTTAATATTTTTTCTTTATATGTCAAGAATGATTCTATTGATGTTAATAAAACTTTGTGTTTGGAGTACAGGAAATAATAAATTTTGAGGGTCCCATATATTTCTTTAGTTTAATGTAATACAAACAGAAATTATATGTACACTCTTATGAAGTGTATCAATAATGAATGTTGCTGCTATATTTTTGCCAAATGATAATATTAAAATTGAAAAATAATATACTCAGAATTCTGATGAGTTACTAACAAATGTGAATTTATTCCTACACATCCAATAAATAAGAATTTGTAATTTTATTCTAGAGTTCCTGTGAAATTTCTAGCACGACTTGTTAGGAAGACGGAGCGCAGAGGACTTTCAGAGACGTGGAAATACTCTGTGCTACTAGAATAGCAGATGTATGTCATTGTGCATCTGCCCAAACCGTAGACCGTACAATCCCGAGAGTGAACCTAATGTAAACTATGGACTTTAGGTGATTATAATGTGTCAGTTATAACAAATAACCCACTCTGGTGGGGGATATTGATAATGGGGGAGTCTATGCATGTGGTGGGGGGCAAGAGGTATATAGGAAATCTCTGTGCCCTCTACTCAATTTTGCTGTGAACCTAAAACTGCTTTAAAAAAAATACTGACCCTGATAGAGGTTAAGTAACGAGCCCCAAATCATCTAGCTATTAAGTAGAAGAGCTATACTTCAGACCCAAACCTCTGACTCTGAATTGTTGCACTTAACTCGTGTACTATACTGAATGGGATATAATGTTCAAATGCATATGAGTGTTATTAACTCTGAAATCATGGTGGTTATTTTTCTCTGAGATATGTGGTTGAAACCAGTCATTTCTCAAAAACAGCAACTGCATTTTCTATAACTGTCAACTGGTATCATTTCCCTGATATATATACTGATTTTATATTTTAAAGATCTATGACATTTCATTCAAAAACCATTATTCACAATTATTTTGATGTCTTTGTATCACTTTACAGATCTGAACATATTTATATGATTATAAACTATACATACTTTTCATTATGTATGCCAAGCATACAGCTTTGCATTATGTTTATTTCACCTAATATTAAATTATGCACCTGCTTTATTCAAAAGATCTTTACTGAGCATCTACCTTAAGCCAGGCATTGTCTTAGACTCTGTGGATCATCAGTAAGCAAGACAGCCAATAACCCTGCTATCTTGAATATACCTTCTAGTAGGTAGAATTATATATCAATGCTGAAAAGTTATGAGGGGAAAAAATAAGGCAGTGTAAGGAGGCAGGCAGTGACAGGCAAGGTGATATTTTAAAATAGTCTGATTAGGGAAGGCATCTCTGAGAAGATAGTGTTTAAGTCAAGAGACCTGAGTGAAATGAAGATGTGAGTTCAGCAGAAATCCCAGGGAGAGGTTCCTAACCATGAGACTGCACTGTGAAGGTCCCGAGGGCAGAGGGAGCCTGATGTTGAAGAGCAGCGAGGGCCAGAATGGAAGGAGGAAAATAGGGGGGAAAGGTGATGACAGACGGTGACTGAGGCGGGGATGGGGATGGGGATGGGGAGGGAAAATGTTGTTAGGGAGATCAAGTAGAATCTCTGGAGGGTTTTCAGGAGAGTACTAATGTGATCTAACTTATGGTTTAAAAACTACTCTGGCTTTGTGAAGAAAATAAACTATAGGAGGCCGAGTGAAAGAAGGGAGAGCAGTTGGGAGGCTGTTGCCGCAGCCCATGATGGGAGTTAGGGTGGTACTGGTGGAGGTGATGAGATGTGGTCTTCTGAATGCTGTTCAAAGGTAGAGCTGATGGGATTGACCAATAGTGGGCATTATGGAAAGAAAGCAGACCAAATGACACCTGGTTTTTTAACTTGAACACACAGAAGGTTGAAGTGATGGAGAAGAAGAAGAAAATTGAAAGAGTAACAGATTTGGGATGGAAGTGGGTAGGATAGGAATCAAGAGTTGGGTGTAAACAGGATCAAGTTCTTCATCTAAGTGGGTATGTCAAGTTTGCAACTAGATATACAAGTCATGAGTTCTGAGAATGAGGTCCTGATTAATCTGAGTCTATAGTTCAAAAAGAAAAAGAGACAGAGAGACAGAATTGCAGACAGGGCCCACCAATGTAGAGAGGTCAGGGAGATGAAGAGAAATAAGCACAGGACTCTTGAACAAGAGTGACTCGTGAGTGAAAAGCAAAACTAAGAAAGTGTGGCATCCTGCAAGCCTAGTGAGGAAAGAATATCAGAGAGAAAGAAGAAATCATCTGTATCAAAGGCTGTTCATAGATCGAACAAGATGAAGACTGAGAATTGGCCACTGGATGTAGCTGTCTTGGGTTAGTGTAACAGGAGCCAACGCAAGGAGAAGGGAGGTGGCATAGAGGAGTTAGAAACAGTGAATTCGGACAACTTTTTGGAGACCTTTGTTTGAAAGGAGAGTAACAAAAAGAGATGATCACTAAACAAGGATGTCTTCTGGTTTGTTTGGTTTTTATTTTAATATGAGAAATATTATAGCACATTGAAGACATTGAAAAGATCCAACAGAGAGGGTGAACTAATGATGCAGGAAGGGAGAATTAGACCACAGTTACCTCCCCTTGACGTACCACGATGTACTTATCCTTTCTACACTGATGTTCATTTAAGTTGCTTCTAAGTATTTCACTGTAACGTTGCAAAGAAAATCTCTATTTTTTTTATTCACTGATGTGTTCTTAAGATAAATGTGTGGGTGGGGAATGACTGGGTTAAAGATCATGAACATTTTTGAGTCTCTTGACAGTCCCCCATTGCTTTAAAAAAAATCAACTTACCAGGCCACCCAGTAATGCATGAATGATTACATTACACTGCAGCCTTGCTCGAGTTATGACATAAATCTTGAGGCCCTCGTTCATGGACTCTCTGAAGGGTTTCCCCTGCCCACCCTTATTCTAACAGACCGCTAGCACCTGAAAGACAGAGCTTGTGTTTAATCACCTTCGTTCCCTCTTATTCTTTCAGACCAAATATTTTACTACTCATAATAATCACAACAATCTTTTATCTGACATTCCTCTTTGTTAAATCACAATGGTGTACATATGCTATATTGGGGGGAGGGGCATCAATGATGGAATCAAACCAACTTGTATTTGAATCCCTCATTCATTTCTTGGGCTTTGCTTAAAACACTTTAATTTCCCATCGGTAAAACGATGAATCATAATTTCTGCTTTCTAAGTCATGGTGAGGGTTGAAAGATCTGTTAAGTCCCCAGCACAGAGTAGGAACATTTTGGAGGAAATCATGGAACTTTTATTTTTTTATCCTCACCCGAGGACATTTTTCCATTTTTAGTTCAGGTAGAGTGGGAGGGAGAGAGAGGAAGAGAGAGAGAGAGAAACATCGACGTGAAGGGACACATCAAGCGGCTGCCACCCACACGACCCAACCAGGGCCGGGGACAAACTGCAACCGAGGCACGTGCCCTTAGCGGGAACCGAACCCGGGTCTCTCTGGACTGCAGGCTGACACTCTAACCACTGAGCCAAACCGGCCAGGGTGGAAATCATGGAACTTTTAAAAGAACTTTATATTTAATATAAAAATACCGTGTGAACATATAATTTTTTTTTAAGGCAGAAATTTAAAAAAAATCCTTCATGAAACATACCTTGTCTATAGCCCCTATAGTTTTCATATTATAGGTTGGTTAATTACCATGAGAAGGAAAAAAATCCCCATGAATTCCAATTCTAGTAAACTGTCGAAACAGCAGGCACCTGGGCTACCCCTTGGGAACGCCCTGGCTGCTCCTGGAGACCTGGAATCAGCAGCGTCTCCAGAAATAGCGCCAGGCACGTACCCCCAGGTGACCCAGTGAGGTTTCATCCCAGCGCCCGAGCTTAGAAAGCTTTATGATTAGTGCGGCTTGCTATGGCGAGGAAATAACACAAAGAAGAGGCCAAATGGAAGCCCAACTCATCACCACATCCTGGCAATTTCCAAACAGGTAAGAGAGAATATTTTATGACATTAACAGTGCAAGGTTAAGAGGAGACTCACGTCCAGATCTGTGTATGTGCACATGTATAAGTGAGCCAGCAGAGAATCTTTGTGATATCTAGGGAAACAGCTTTAGCCTCAAAGCTTGAAATGAAAAGAAAACGCCAGGCAATTAATTCAAAATCTCTAAACCTTAAGAGCCTACCACAACCCTAAGTAGTTTCTCATAAAATTGCTATCCATCCTAAAGAGAATGGAATTACAAATGCATCCACTTGGACAGAACTGAACATTTGCATAAAATATATTGGGTGGAGCAGGTATTGTCTTAGTTTTGTTCAGTCTACTTCCCACACTGACCCTGAGGAAAGATGACCGTTTGCACTGCCGGTAAGTAGGAAGGGAAAGGAGAGGTTACAACGGGCTAAGACACTCACTCCAGACATTGTTTTGATGATCACATCTTGAGGACCCTGTTGTTGCACGCAGACTTCACTAAAAGGCTAGTCGGCATCTTCCGTTGTAATCGGATGTGGGGGACCCTAAATGAAAGTAGGTGACATGAGACATCCCTGAACTAATTCCCAGCAGGGACTTCAGCTTTGTTATTTTCCACCAGTAAGCCAAGAACCTTATTATTAAAGCTCGCTGTCCTCATAAGAGTCATGGCTCTCATTAAGAACTATGTATGAATTCATTAGTTAACCTCTCCAGAAAGTGCTATCTTCGGGTGAAAACCCTCACAAAATGTTTAATTCACTTAAGTTTATATTTAAATATATGTATTGGTTTCCCTCTGTGTTCTGGGCATTATGTGAAGTTCTGAGCATATGAAGATTAAACATAAGAAGTTAGATTGTATGTTAAAAATAACACAGTGGTTCTGGTGTTGGTCCAAAGTTATAGATAGTTCTGATTTTATCTGTGGTCCGTAATGATGAATAACAATGTCAAAATTAGTGCATCTGGTGTTTTCATCCATCTAAATAATAAAATTGGGTTAACTTTCTGTCTGATTCAATATTGCAGAAAACAGTAATCAAGATGGCCCAAATATATCATTTGATTCAAGAAGTCAATGTCTATTTGCCACAAAATATAAGGCTGTCAGATTTTTTTTTCAGCTTGTCTGTAGTGTGAAACATGAACAAATAATAATGCCAAATGATACCTTGGCAGTAATTTCAAAGCAGGATTTTAGGGTTTAACAGCAACATGTTAGACTAAAGAGAAGTAAAAGTTTTCAGTGATTTTCTTTTAATGCCAGTAGGTATATCCTTTGTAATAGGAAGAGTGTGAAGAGAGATGTGGCTTGTCAATTTTCTACACCCAAATATCTTCCCATTCAGCCTCCACAGTCTTAAATTTATTTGTTTAACTTGCCAGCATGAATTACTTAGTTGACAGTTGAGGCTGGGTTGTGTTGTATGCAATTAGCCATTTCTACATTGAGCGGTCACAGGAAGAATAAGCTACATAGAGTCTTCTTTGCTTTTCTGATTGCTCCCTGAACTTCTATCTAACAATTTAATAATTAGATCAGAGATATAATAATCCTAATACCATGGCCCCAGTCATGCTAAAACAGAAACACGGGTACACTGGGAGGGTTGAGCAGTAATAACAGGATGGAATAGGCAGCATCATGCTGTGTATTAAAGTTACGCTGCAAAAGACCTCACTCAGAATCTTCCTTTTCCAGAAGTGAGATGGTTCTCGGGGCGCTAATCACTAAAATAACACATTGTGGAAAATTATACATTTATTATTTTTGCCATCTCCGTCTGCAGATGAATAAAACCACAAGAACACTGACAAAAACTTCATCCACATTCTGTCTTTATTCATTTTTAGTTATGCAGAAAATTGTTAATTTCCACTGTGCTAAAAAAAAAAAAAAAAAAAAAGTCAAGATTTCCAAGAAGAAAAGTTGAAAGGACCCTGAATCATAGAGTTTTTATTTTCATCTCAAAAACACATGCCAATAAACTCATTTCATTTTATCATGTTTCTTGGAGAATTGGGTAGTTCACCAGAAAAGTGAAAAACAAAATCCTATTATAGCCATTAGCTCGAAACATAAACTGTTTCATGGAGAGACTCGAAACAAACTGAATCTATAACATCCTTCCATGGAGCGTTAGACTCCGAGCCACCCCGGTGGTCACAGTTTCAGACACTGTGGTCTCCCTGTCGCCTCACAGTTCACGTGTTTGCATGTAGAGTGGAAATTCCTGAAAGAATGTGTCCCTGTTGATTGAGTAGAAGCTCATAAAAGTAAAAGGGAGCCATCTCCTTATTTTACCCACATCTGGAATAAAGCACCCAGGTGCCTGTAAGGTTTGTTAATTTCTTCATTTTAGAGAAGTATTTGTATATTGATGGCTTGAAATAATGCAGAATGCAAAGTGCCTGGGAAGGTGAAGGGTTAGGACTTCACCCTGGGACACCTGCTTCCAAGCATCCCTAACTGCCCCTTAGAGGCTAGTTCGGGCTCAGTTCTTACTGGGCAGGCAGTCAGGTGTCCTGCCTGTCCTTTCGGCAAAGCTTCCCCCACGGAGGGTTACGGCGGCGGTGACTAGAGTTTCGTTATCTTGATCAGGCTGGATGGAGAAACTTGAATTTGTCTGACCTCGTTTTTGAGGCCGATTCGTCCAGCGTTGGGCTTTGTCCGTGCAGGGTTTCTGCCCGGCCCCGATTCCTGCCTTTTTTGACTCAGGCTTTGGGCTGCTGTGTTCTGCTTTCAGAGAGAAATGCTGGGGAGGGACAATTTGGGGGAGACTGAGAGGCAACACAGGCATAAGAATAACAGGGAAGAAATAACATTCAGTACAAGGTAGAAAACATAATCAGGGAAGATGAATGTGGAAATGTCTGTTGATAAGGAGACTTGAAAATTCTGTGAAAAGCGAGTCTCTTGCTATTATATTTGTTTACTGTACCCAAGATAATATCTATTTGTGGTTAAATCATGATTTTTTTTCTCCTGACTGAAGAACTGTGTATAAATCTCTATCTTCTAGTTTATCCACAGATAGGTTTGTAAGTTTTATAAAAATGTTTTATAAGTATAAATGAACACAAAATCACAAAGTGTAAGAATGGTAGTATCATAAAAGTATACAGAGTTTTATAATTATGGAAGCATTATCTCCTCTAGTGATTTTATACTTAGAAAAGTCGAGAGACCTTCACCATTGCATGATTTTTAAAAAAGCTATTGTATGGATAGGGGCTTAGTCCAAATTAAATGGAATTTAAATTTTTCAGAACAATATATAAAAGGTCTTTATGTAATTGCTAAATATTGGGAGTCTTAAAAGACCAAAGAAAAGGTGTTTTACAGAAAATGTGATTAAGCGAAATGAAAGGGAACACTAATTAAGAGGTAACATTATAAGAGAGATCAGAAATTAATGAAATGAAGAAAACTAGGTTATAGCAGGCGTTTTAAATGAGTAGGATCTAATCTAACTCAAATTTAACTGTTTCAGTCTTAATATTTAATTTGTAGTAGTAGAGAGCAAAGAAGAAAAGGACGATGAATATGAATTTAACTCAATATCTAAAGAGTCTTCTTTAGAGTATGCAAGATTTTGGTTCCCCCAGCTGTGGTTCGAAAGGGCAAGGTAGGCAGTAAATAGAAGCCAAGAGCCTGAAATCAAAGAAGATGCTTAAAACGTGCCATTTTTATCTTAAATCTCAAATGTATATTCTCTCCAAAACTCTTATTACTTTAGCAAAACCAAATTGTTTTTAATCCATTGCTGTTTCACTGACCTAGATTTCCTGATTGATTTTTGGCTGAAACTCTTTGATAAGTATAACAGTCAGTACACGCAAACACTGGAAATCCAATCAGGTCACTCCTTAGTGTCTTGATATTATTACTATTCCAGCAAATAAGTAAAGGGCCTTCATTTAATCAACAAAATTGCTACTCAATTTCCCTTGATACTGAATATACAGAGAAGCAGGTCATTTAACTAATTGCTTTTAACATTGATATGCAGAGTAAATTCATATCTATAAGCAAAATTTATGGAGCACTTTCTATCTGCCAGTTTGGGCTGTTTTATGTCTAATAAGTAATGTGACTCTCAGAAGCCTTGTGACAGGGATGCAGTCATCATCCTCATTTGACAAATGAAGAAACTGAGGCTCAGAGAGAGTTGTTTTACCAAGTTCACTCAGGCCAGGATTACATGCAAGTCTTTCTTACTCCCTAACCCACGTTCTTAACTATTACATTATAGTGTGGCAAAGTTTTCCTATTTGGTATTTGCTCACCTACTTGCAATGCCAAACACAATTATTTTATGTTGGGTGCAGTCTCCCTAGCAATTAGAAAACAGAGTAGGCAAAAGTGTTTAAATGTGTGAGCTTAGAATTCAAGAAGCTCCTGACTATCTCTCTCTCCTGTCTACAAGGTTTTACCTTTCCAAACAAGAAATTTAGATAACTTTTCTTTTTTTTTTTTTTTTTTTTTTTTTTTTTTTTTTTATCCTCACCCGAGGATATTTTTCCATTTTTTGTACAGATAGAGGGGAGGGAGAGAGAGGAAGGGAGAGAGAGAGAGAAACATCGACGTGAAGGGACACATCGAGTGGCTGCCACCCGCACGACCAACCAGGGCCGGGGACAAACTGCAACCGAAGTACGTGCCCTTAGCGGGAACCGAACCCGGGTCTCTCCAGACCGCAGGCCGACGCTCTAACCGCTGAGCCAAACTGGCCAGGGCGATAACTTTTCTTAATCACCATCAATATTCATTCAGCTCCCTCATGAATTGTTTTAATTATTGGCTGATCAATTGATTTAGTATCCCATACCTGCAATAGAGCAAGGATATAAAAAATTCATAAAGTTGTCATTGCAATTGTTTTCAAAATGTCTCAAAACATTATTCTGAGCAAAATTCTTGTATTGTCATTTCATGTATTAAAAGGGGTAGCTCATCACAGTGAAGTGCTCTTAAGAAGAAAGATAAAGTCATCAGATGCGCTAATGCTGTAGTATAAAGGTCTTACCTGACTTTCCTCTCTATTTACCCTCCTTTCTTCTTTTGTTCTCAGTAAAAATTAGTCTTGGTGTTCTGCTTGTTTCTTCATTATACATTCACTTGTTAACTCTCTAACAGCCTCAATATACACTAGTGACACACTAATTTTAGTTTATGAATAGTGCTTGTACCAACCCTTACAAACTCGTTAAATGACCCTGAGGGATAAAAGCAAGCCCATGGAACTGTACACTCTGCACCCATGTTGCTACCCAGTGAACTTGCACTATCCAGTGAGTTCCAAGGACACACTTGGCCTCCCAGTGGTCTCCAGACCACATTTTGAGAATCACCAATTGAAGACCATCAACTATTTCTCATCGACAGATTCAATAGCCTTTTCTTGGTCCAGCTTTTTCTTAACCTTCAGCAGCAGCATCAGAGTTGGTAAACCTCTTCTGAACACTCTGCTCCTGACTTCCACACCACCAAATACCTTGACTCCCCTCTGACCCTTCTACTCTGTAGACAGCCATGCTA